TGTTATATTCTATCTGATAATATAGGAATTGTAAGTTCTCTCAACAAATAAGGGCCCAGGTAGTTTGTTAATGTTTTGTGAAAGCAGAAGACTTTTCTTTTCGCTGCTGTCAAAATTTCTATGGTAAGGCAATGTATACCTCTGTTTCTGATATAAATAAAATAGGTACGAACTAATTATGTTTAAGCCCAACGGCGAGGTGTGTAACTGAAAGTAACGGTATGATCTTCTAAAGAATTTAGAATTACTTATTTGAAACTAAACCTGCAACCTTTGCAACCAACGATCGATCTCCAATTTCTTCACAAATCCGGAAGCATAAAAGTTAATTGTTTCTAACTGTGACGACGACAGAATCTTTTGTTCATGAATTTGTCCATGGCAAAGTTTTCCGTTGACGAACGCTGTGTCGAAATCCTCTGGACTGTAAACACTGGGAGTATAACTTCAGATTACAATTTTGATCTCCCGTGGTCTACGGCATTGAGACCTTGTGCACTCGCTGCAGAGATGGGTGGGGGAGGGGGGCCTAGTCAACGAAGCGTTATTTACATACCCAAAATCTCCGAATAGCTTGCTCTGCCACCCACACGTCTCTGGATGCCATGCATCCAGACTCTGGCGTGTACGCAGACCCACGGCTGTTCACACCTACATAGCCTGTGGTGTTCCAACAAGCTAATACACCAAACTATTCAGTATTAGAATATAAGACCACCTTCCTCTGTTTCTCCTATCCCTTCTCATCTCGTCTGTTTTATTAACTGCCTATAACTTTCATAAAATAATCCGTCACATTCTTCGGTAACTTCAACGGACTTCAGCAACTCCATTTTGGTTCCCCACGGGGCTATCGGAGCCATAAAACGAGGCTTCACTATTGTGTTCAATGTGACAACCTGTACATCACATCGTTTGCGTTACCATCTCCATAACCGATTAGAAAATACATTAAACGTCTTCTTAACCTCGCAAGTCACGTGCTTACAACGTTTCATTAAACATGTCTGCAGAATATTTTGTATGTACTAAATGCCCGTCTCTTGAGTTTAAATACATTAATTACTTTTTCGTAGCGAAATTAACTGAAGCGATTTCAGGTATCAGAAGTACGTTCGTACGTATCTGTTACATTTCCGCTTTTCCCGTGAATATCACGTGATATTTATATAGCCTATAGTCTATTGTCGAGCATGGTTTTACAATATTCACCGTGGTAAGTCTATCAATTAATTATTCTACTGCCCTCAAGGCTTAGTATCAAGCGCTCAGATTTATTACATTACGTTCTGAATGTTAGTTACTAATTGAGATATTGTCATCTATATTGTAGACCAGTGGTATTCAACCTTTTTTGTTCGCGTACCCCCAGATATAATTTCTCTTCGACTTTGTACCCCCAAAGTTGTTGGTGTATAATTCAAGTTATATATATATATAGTATATAATTTACATCTAAAATAAATTAAATAAATTACATTACTGATTATTCAGTGTTTATCATAAAATAATATATTTTTTTTAAAATTTCACGTACCCCCTAAGATGTCTTCGCGTACCCCCAGATATAATTTCTCTTCAACTTTGTACCCCCAAAGTTGTTGGTGTATAATTCAAGTTATACATAGTATATAATCTACATCTCAAATAAATTAAATAAATTACATTACTGATTATTCAGTGTTTATCATAAAATTATATATATTTTTTAAATTTCACGTACCCCCTAAGATGTCTTCGCGTACCCCCAGATATAATTTCTCTTCAACTTTGTACCCCCAAAGTTGTTGGTGTATAATTCAAGTTATACATAGTATATAATCTACATCTAAAATAAATTAAATAAATTACATTACTGATTATTCAGTGTTTATCATAAAATAATATATATTTTTTTTAAATTTCACGTACCCCCTAAGATGTCTTCGCGTACCCCCAGATATAATTGCTCTTCAACTTTGTACCCCAAAAGTTGTTGGTGTATAATTCAAGTTATACATAGTATATAATCTACATCTAAAATAAATTAAATAAATTACATTACTGATTATTCAGTGTTTATCATAAAATAATACATTTTTTAAAAAATTTCACGTACCCCCAGATATAATTTCTCTTAAACTTTGTACCCCCAAAGTTGTTGGTGTATAATTCAAGTTATACACAGTATATAATCTACATCTAAAATAAATTAAATAAATTACATTACTGATTATTCAGTGTTTATCATAAAATAATACATTTTTTAAAAAATTTCACGTACCCCCAGATATAATTTCTCTTAAACTTTGTACCCCCAAAGTTGTTGGTGTATAATTCAAGTTATACATAGTATATAATCTACATCTAAAATAAATTAAATAAATTACATTACTGATTATTCAATGTTTATCATAAAATAATATATTTTTTTAAAATTTCACGTACCCCCTAAGATGTCTTCGCGTACCCCAGGTTGAATACCACTGGT